TTTTGGTGTTGTACATTTATAGACTGAAGATTTAACTTAAAAATAATTAGTTATACATCTTAAAAAACAAAAATGATATGAAAATTAGAAACAATGTGTTTTATAAAATATTATTGAAATTGCGATTAAAATTACAGAAGCGTGGTAACCTTGTCTGTAAAGTACATCAAAAACTATCTCTATGCATGAATGAGTTTGAGGTTAAAAGGAAATCATTTTCTAAGCAACTGGCTAGAAGCAAGTTTTTCCTGGTCATTCAAGCTACTTGACTCCTAAAATCCAGTTGGATTTTATATTAGAATTAAGGAATTTTTCCCTTTTTATTAAGCTACTAAGAAAAGCATAAAAGAAATCAGTTCTTCATACAAATAAAAACACTGACTTGTGTGCTTTTTAAAGATAGCAATATGAAACTTCAGCTTTGTTGGTTATAGATTATTAAAGAAAAATATGAATTTTTCTGAGGATATTTACAACTTTTTCAAGTATAATGCTTAGTACAGCATGTGTCAGTTAAGGAAAATAAATGACAGTAGGATGAACAGGAAAAAGGAAAGACAAAATGAAAAGAAGATAGAAATTTAAAAGGTATGGGGAAAAGGGAGGGATGAGCAGGCAATAAGAATACGTGTTAGTCACAGAAAGGGAAAAATACAAACACAGAGTGTAAAGTAGAGACAGAAGTACAGTTAAAGACCCTGAGGGAAGTATTAGGTACATCAAAGAAATCTGCTTTGGTCACCCTGTAGAATGTGCAGGGACATGGACCTCTAATTGTTGGCTTTTTCACTTGGTGTCAGAACACTGAGGAACTGCTGCCCACTGCAAGCATGGCTTCCATAACTGTATTTAAAGAGAAAATTAAACAGTGATTTAATTCATCAAGGTATCAGGGGTATGGTTGAAAGAAAGAAGAGGAGCATAATCCCTGCAATTGTGTCAAATTCAGCTTGGGTTTGCTATTAGAGATTCAACGTAAAAACCTTCCGAAGGACTGTTGTCAGCCCATCTAACAGTAATCTATACAAGTAGCTCCTGAGCCAGTACTGTTGTCTAATTTCACTAATAAAGAAAAATTATTTTTCCATCTTCTTAGAACAATAGTGAAGCACAGATACATTTTATTTTTCATATTAAGTATATTTTTACAATGAGTTTGTTTTTCTTCCTTCCAAAGGAAATCACCAGGAAGGCCTCATTTTCATTGTATTAATATGGTGTGCCATTCTTGGCGGGGAACTGTAGGTGTTGCTGCAGCTACATAGCTGAAAAAGCTAAGCTAGGCCTCCAATTCTTTGGCTTATTACAATTCTATTTTAGCCCTGTCCTCTCCTTCCCACTCAAATTCTGTACCCTGGCATGTGTTTAGATATGCTGCATCCTCCAGTTCTTTACACTAAATATACTCAGAAACCAGGAGCAGATGAGTCATTCTTTCTGTAAAACTCAGCTTGGTGGTGGACAGCTCATAAGTTGGAATAGATATAGTTGGATCAGGGAAGTAGAGACAACAGTACTTTGTTCATTGTGTTCTGCAAAGGGAGCCAACACAGGGTGAGGGTGGGTGGTTTCAGAGTAAACTGGAGCAAATGCTCATATTACACTTTAAATAAAAGTTGGTTAAAGAAATAATACTTTAAAGAAAATACTCTGAATCTTAGAAATTGTGTTCATCACTTGTGTAAGGGGTCAGGCACTTTTTTCATCTTCTTGTTGTTATCCTTTGACCAGTTCTGTGAGCATAATTTGTTTCCAGTCTTTTTGTTCCATGAGTGAAAAGGTCAATGCCCTTTGACATGGCATGAGCTGTTCAGTACACTAGGGGAAACTTCACCAGCAGTGCTGAACTTAAAACAACTTCAGGGCCACCAGAGTCAAACATAGGAAGTGTTATTCAAACTCCCTAGAGAATACTGGCTTTGTTTATTAGCCACCTTACATCTTGTTGAATTGCTAAGTGCTGCTATCTTGAATGAACAGATATATCAGAGACTCCAGACCCAGATGAGGTATTTGTAGGCATGACATAACAACATCACTCTCCTAAAGTGTCCCCTACAGGAATCTAAATACAGAGTGGCTATTTTCTTAAATGGGAAAAGTTCCATCTCAGGTCCCCATAGTCCAATACATGCTAAATGATTCTCCAAATGAGCAAACATCCTTTGATGAGACAATAAATTT